AGTAACATCTCGGAGAAGTCTGCTCCGATTAGTTACCAGGAAACCGCAAAAAAAATTTGGGAAAGATCTGTAATCCGAGGTTGGAAAGGTCTCCTTGTTAAAGTAAAAATATAGTCCTATTGACAAATGAAGAATCAATAAGTTTAACGTTATTTTTTCTTGTATAACAAAATTATAAAGGATCAATGAGATAAAAAAAATTTAATATTTGCCAAGAATAATTTAAATGTTGATTACGAAACCTTTAATATGAAAATAACTAAATTTTCTCAGTGCGTGAAAAACTCTTACATAAACAGGAAAATATAAATATACTTTGAGAATTCGAAACTTGGAGAAGCTGAAAAGGATTCAAACTCCCTAGAGAAAACCATTACATACCTCAATAACTCATCTGAGGGCCAAGAAACCCAACAGAACCATAACATCCTGGAGAAGTCCGCTCTGATTTATTTTAATATCCTGGAGCCTAAAAAGCTTAAAAGAGCTATAATGTACACGAGAAGTTCACTCTTGGCTATTTTTAATACCTGGAGCATGAACAATTCATAGAAATTGGAGACCTGAAATTTTATTTAAATCATAAATGATTTTAATCAAGTTGAATTCACGAATCAAAATTTATTCGTGATTTAGAATGATTTTAAATCAAAAATCAAAATTGATTCGTGATTTAAAATCATTTAAATCAAAAATCTAAATTGATTCGTGATTTAAAATCATTTTAATTCAAAATCAAATTGATTCGTGAGTTAAACTGGATTTAAAATAAAAATTGATTCAAACTTTTACAACCCTGCTTCAGGAGCCATCTTTCGAGTGTTGTTCATGATTCTGTGGCTTACTTGCGAGCCGCCTGATTTTCGCTTTAGACTCTATCTTGTGAGCTTGGTTCACGCTTCCGGCTTCATTTTGTATGTGTGATACTCGTAACCTATCACCGTATTGTGAGAGTATTCAATAAACTCAATCCATAAAAAAATTTTTTCTGAAGAATTTGATCCGTACCAGAGGTAAAACTCACTGAGAAATTTAGCGCAGACTGTACCAAAATGTCAAAAATTAAACTTTTCAGAAGAGACTAATAAAGAATTATTGTTTCGAACATTATAAACAATTAATTCACATCATCTCTTACCCTCACATGATCTAAGTTTAATTTTAATTTTTTACTTTCTCATGTTAGTATGGGCCTAAACTAGTTTATGAATGAGTTTTTAACAATCTGGTGACTAGATATTTTTATTTGCTGTTCCCGTAAAATCATCGATTATTCTGCTGCGTACAAGATTTGTATGATTTTCTTTTTATTTAAAACGTAAACATCTTGGGTCGTTCTCAGGGCTGGATTAGGTAAATATGAGGCCCGGGGCTATTCTATAAAGAGACCCCCACATGATATTGTAAAAAAGTAACGCTAACATGCTACTAAGAAGTTGAGGCCCGGGGCTTAAGGCCCCCTACATCCAGGCCTAGTCGTTCTTAACTTTTTTCACGGCATTTGTCAATTAACGTTTCTTTAACGTAAATTGGTTTTAATCGACGAATAATAGTACTTTACGATACTAGTGGCATAAGTAACGGCGTAGTTTAAGGCCCGAGCGTAGCGAGGGTCCTAATAGCTGGGCCGAAAAGTGTCCTCTATGTCACGAGTATCGTACAACATTTTATAGCACTGTGCCAAGTTCACATTTATGCCCCCTTTTCCGATGCCACCGAAAAGCGTGCCATAAATGTGAACTTATGCCACGCAGTGCTATAAAAGTCTTTGTTGAAATACTCAAATAGTTATCTGGACCCTTCGTTGCACTTGAAATTTATTAAATTTCAAAAAATTTCAAAAAATTTCAACTGTCCCAATTGGCAAGACTGATCAATCAATAAAACGACGAAACTGATTCAAACATCTTAACCCATTAACGACAAAAAGGCTCGATTTTTTTGTAGACTTTTGAAGCGATTTGTTCCGTAGTTTTAGGCCTCAAAAACATTTCGTTTGCACCTATTTCATTGTAAAATTTAATTCCCTTTCAGAAAATAAACTCAAAATGTTGACTTTTTCCATAATAAATAAGTTAAAGCTATTTAAACAAAAAAAAAAAAAAANAAATAAGTTAAAGCTATTTAAAAAAAAAAAAAAAAAAAAAAACCGTCAAATTTTTTCAAAAAAATCAAGTTTTTGATTTGTTTTAGTCATGTTACCTTGAAATCACGATATAAACATGATCAGGAGTGATCACGACTATCAAAGTATCTACGGGAATTTTTATGGAATTTTTGAACCACTTTTCAAACTTCTGGTTTTGCACTTTTTCTCGTAACTCAATCATTTTCGAGGGAAAAATGACTTATGTTTTTATGAATATGAGTCTCGTTTAGTTTGAAGGAGTGGTTCAATCACCTATCTATTAGATCGATTTTTGAAAAAACGGCTTTGTGGAGCCCTCCGTATTGAGCTGTGAACAATTGTACCAAATTTCATTCCATATCATTTAACAGTTTTTGCGGAAAATGGGATCGAAATTTTTAAGCCTGAAAACCTAAATGAAAAATTTCGATCTCGTTTTCCGGTAAAACTGTTGAATAAAATACACATCATTGATACGGAGGGCTCCACACAGCCGTTTTTGGAAAATCGGTCTAGTTCGACCCCATAGATCAATGTAAATAGAGTATTCACGTCCAAATCGCGTGGCTAGTTAACGGCGTATAGGCACCTTTAAATCGAAAAATGTTTTATTCAATTATTGGAAAGAATTTTCCTTCTTTCCATTGCCATTTTGAAAACTCTAAAAAGTTAATTTTTCACTCATTTTCATATATTTTGCGTGTTAAATGTTTTCTTCTTTTGCGTTTTCTGGTAAGTAGTGTTTTTAGTCATCTGTCGTAACTTTCAGAGGGTACCGATTGAGCTTCAGCGCCAGCGTGGCGTACACTTTTTCCGAACATCGATGGTCACAATACAAACACAATCTCGTGCGAGATAATCCGACCCATAGGTCACCCTACTCAAACACTTAGGCATAATTTATTTTTCATTTTACGTTATTTTTATAAATGTCCATAATAGAAGTACTCATCGACAGCGACGTATTAGTCAGATCGTCTCGCCTAAGGTTGTGTTTTGTGACTATCAATGTTCTGAAGAAGTGTATGCCACCCTGGCGCTGAAGCTAAATCGGTACTCTCTGGAAGTAACGACAGATGACCAAAAACACTACTTACCAGAAAACGCAAAAGAAGAAAAAATTTAACACGCAAAGTATACGAAAACGCTTAGGGAAACTGCTGTATCTCAATGAAAAATTAACTTTTTAGAGTTTTCAAAATTGCAATGGAAAGAAGAAAAATTATTTCCAACAATTGAATTAAATTTTTTTGATTTTGAACCCCTTGTTAGCTCTTGCTCCAATCACAACATGAGGTGTAATTGATAAGAAAGATAAGTGGGGTTTTTGAGCATGAAAAAAAAATATTCGGTCTATCAATTGTAGTACGAACTTATTGCAATTTTTAAAACTACTTTTAAATTTCATCCCATAAAGTAATATTTATGGCACTAGCATTATAAGGTACTTCTATAGCACTGTGTAGCACAAGTTCACATTTATGGCACCCTTTTCCGAGCCATAAGTCGCACGTTCTGGCACCGCTGCGTTCGCATCACACTCGCTAACGCTCGTGCGCTAACCTCACTTCGTGCTACCAGAAATGCGACTCATGGCTCGGAAAAGGGGTCATAAATTTGAACTTAGCACAGTACTATAAAATGTTATTCGATACTCGGGCCATAGGGGACACTTTTCGGCCCACCTATTAGGCTGCGCCGTGCAAAAAGTGTTACTTATGGCACTTGTATCGTAATAGTAGTTTTCGATACAAGGGCCATAAGTAACACTTTTTGGCACGGCGTAGTTTCGGGCCCGAGCGCAGCGAGGGTCCTAATAGCTGGTTACTGGGCCGAAAAGTGTCCCCTATGGCTCGAGTATCGAATAACATTTTATAGTACTGTGCTAAGTTCACATTTATGCCCCCTTTTCCGAGCCATGAGTCGCACTTTCTGGTAGCGCGAAGTAAGGTTAGCGCACAAGCGTAAGCGAGTGTGATGCGAACGCAGCGGTGCCAGAATGTGCGACTTATGCCACCGAAAAGCGTGCCATAAATATGAACTTATGCCATACAGTGCTATAAAATACTATATTATAACTTCTCATGAAACTTTTTAATGTTTGACTTGGACAACTCACTGAGTCCAGATCAAAATGTATTATAATAATTTTACCATATTGATAAGTTCAGCATTTGAATGATGAAATGTTGAATCTTGTGTAAATAACAATGACTGAATAAATAACAAGAAAAATTTTGAGTAAGTTACATATATTTCATTCGCTTTGGCATAAACGGGAATATAATATCTATAATATTGAACACTTCATATTGTGATTTAGCTTCATGAAAATGTTTTTATCTTCAACTAAATATATTCAAATTAAAGTTGATTAATATTTTAGATTCGAATGAAAACTTTTCGAGCGTATCATCAGAATTCAAAAGTTTTCACTTTCTTTCGTTTATCATTTTCCAAATATGGTTCACTTTGACTCTTCGTACTATATATCGGATTGAATTATTATTGAAGTAATGTAAATTATATCTTTTATTTGTCTCCCATTATACTTTACAGGCTCTTCAAATTAACATTTATTTTTATTTTTGTCTGCCTTGTGTTCTATTAAATTTCAGCAGTATATTACATGAATGGTTATTATGAATCTATATTTCTTCCATTTTTTCTTTAAACAATAGAAGTAGATCAGTTTCCATTGTAATTCAAGTGTAGTAAAATAATTTTATTAAGTTATATCCGGTCAGTTTGATACTTGTTTTTCTAGTAAATTGAAAGTTCTAATAGATTATCAATACCTGCATCGTCGATTCACTATGCTATGTATATTTTTTTCACTTTCGATTCAAAAAATCATCATGTATTTTTTCAGTGTCGTTATGCCAATGATTGATGAAAGAGAGAGAAGCAGAGATCGAGATAGAACTCGAAGATCTGAACGTTCCAGCCGTGTGAATTCTAATAGTAGAGATCGAAGTAGAGACCGAATCGATAGAGGTAGAAAAATTGCTGAAAGAAGAATTTACGTCTCGAACATTCCTTACGATTTTCGTTGGCAAGATTTGAAAGATCTTTTCAGAACAGAAGTTGGAAAAGTTGCTCATGTCGAACTTTTTGCAGATGAAAATGACAAACCGAGAGGTTGTGGTATAGTTGAATTTGAAGATTCTGAATCAGTCAAAGTAGCTGTGGATAAAATGCATAGATTTGATATCAAGGGTCGCAAACTGGTTGTGAAAGAGGTTGTTCCTTTTTTTTAATACATTAAAATTCTTCTTATACAAAGAAAATTAAATAGTAAAGAAAAATATATTGGAAATGAAAATTTTCACTCTTACTTTACGACTTCAAATTATTATTTTGTTGTCCATGAATTTGAACGACCCTAATAATTATATCTAAATTAAAATATTTCTTTTTTATGATTTTCATAAAGCTTTTAGATTTTTTATACACTCATTTTCTTTTCTCAGACTATTAGCTTGCTTTATTTGTAGGTTTTTTTATCTACATAATTTAATTTACAGGACTTTATCATCTTTTAAATTAATATAATTGACAGAATTTGGAGGGAAGGGGGGGCAAGTTGCCCTCTTTAGTCATTCATTATCAATGTTTTTTTCAGGTGTAATTTAATGTTAATCATACTCAAATGAAGTCTAATATCATCGAAGCTAGAAAAACGGTTTGAAGTCAAAAGTTCACTTTCTTTCCATTTAGTCGTTTACGTGAATAGATTTTCATTTTAAAAATCTCAGGTGCTTTTTTTCACGAAGAAGGAAATTCATTTACGGAATCAAGATGCGATTGCTTTTTCGCATAGACGGACTCAAGTAGTGTACTGGTGTTTATTGAGTAAGCTTGTGTGTGCCTCTACGAATACCGACTAAAACAGATCGTCTTTTCTCCTACCTCTGTTCTTTTCCCGCGAGACGATCACTAGGCATTACTTCGCGCAGAGAGGCCATCGCTCTGTACGAGCACATCCAGATTTTAATTCTTCATGTTTCTTATTTTTTCGTACTGCATCGTCCGGTTCTATTCTTCTGTCCCTCTCTCTATTTCTTAGTTTTGTCATGACTGTTCTGGTGAAGGAGGTGACGGCTTCCCAGTTGTGCTCAGTGGCAAGCATGAATCCAACTATCGTCTCGGGCTCTAAGTGCCTATTAGTGAGGTGGCAGAGTTGCTCTCTTTGCACCGTGAATCGAGGGTAGTGGAAGAAGACGTACTCCACATCCTCCACTGCAGAAAGGCAGACCAGGCACGAGTTACCCGTTTTGTTTTTGGTACACCACAAATATGACCTAAAGCAACCGTGGCCGGACAAAAGTTAGATTAAGTGGTTGTTCGCTTCTTCATGTCTCCTTTCGATTCTCGAGGCGAAATTTAATATGAGCCGATGAGTCTACAGACCCTTCGTTAAGCGCGCCCATTACGCCTGTCATTTCTCTAGACTCTAGAAAAATTAATTTTTTGATTAACTAAAATTACCGTAAATTACAAAAAGAGACTTTCATCTTTAAGTCATACATACCAAAATTTTTTGGGTTTTTTTCTAATTGATGATAATAAAGCCTCCTATAGTCAGTTTAACCTCATAGGTATTAAAAAAATTCGATAACGTTAAATGTTACAGAGCGCGGCAAAAGTATGGATACACCTGGAAATTTCGCGGAACAAGGGTAGGAAAAAATCAAAAACCTCATATCTGACGTAGTTTTTGACGAGGAATCAAATGGTAACCTTGAATTTGACCTGTAACATAACCTAGAGCTCCAGCGACCCAAAAATCGATTTTTCAAATGGAAACCCCCATTTTTTTTATTGCAGATTTGAAAAAAAGCGGAAAATTTTACGTTAAAACATGTATTTATTATTTTTTGAAGGTCATTTTAAGGACGTTACAGGCAAAAAAAAACCCCAATTTAACCTAAAATTGAGTTCGGGTAAGGGCTTTTTTCCTAACTGTACCGCCTCCAAAATGACCTTGAAAAAAAATAATAAAATACATATTTTCACGTAAAATTTTTTGCTCTTTTCATTTTTTTAGCAGATTTGAAAAGAGCGAAAAATTTCACGTTCGATTACGTATTTGTTTTTTTTTTTTTTGGTCATTTTGGAGTCGGTACAGTTGGAAAAAAAGTCCTTACTCAAACTCAATTTTAGGTTAAATCGGGGTTTTATTTGCGTCTGTAACGCCCTTAAAATGACCTTTAAAAAAACAAACAAAAAACTTACTTCAACGTTAAATTTTCCGCTCTTTTTTCAAGTCTGCAATAAAAAATGGGGGTTTCCATTTGAAAAATCGATTTTTGGGTCGCTAGAGCTTGAAGGTCACCATTGGATTCCTCGTCAATAAATACGTCGAAAATGAAGTTTTTGATTTTTTTCCTACGCATATTCCGCGAAATTTCCAGGTGTACCCATACTTTTGCTGCACCCTGTATAACGGAATTTTAAGGGGGAAGTACCTAAAACCTAAAAAGAAAATTTTTTTTTGCTGATTGACTTTTTGAATAGGATTTTTTCTCAAATTTCCAGTGCCGTAATCAGAATTTTCAAATTTTGATTCTATCGAGAGGTACAGCCCATTTAGTACCGATACTTCATTACAGTAAAAATGAAAAAAACGACTCCAAAAAACATTGCCGCTCATTCAAAAATCTCCGGACTTTTATATGTCGGTAGCGCAATCTATTGGTACTCGTTTTATTCTTTTATTAGAATGCATCCAACAGAAATTTGTTTGTTTTATACATGGCTATAGGTGTACAGTAGGGTGGTCCTTATTTCCCAAAGTGCTCCAATCCTCGCTCCCACCCCTCAAAAAGTTAGTTTAGGACTACAAATGAAGATATCCGTCGTCATAACCCAAGTGAAAATAATATGTAAGATCTGACTCCAGATCTGGCATCAGATCTGGTATAAAATCTGACAAATGTCCACCAGATCTGACATCAAATCTGATACCAGATCTTGTATTCGATAATGAACATCAGAACTTATATCAGATCTGACATCAGATCAAATATCAGATCTGAAGTGACTGTATTGACTCTAATTAATTAAACAATAAAATTATTAAGAATTAAAATTTCATAATAAATCTTAAAATTAAAAGTTGTTGAATCAATTTAAATTCACATTATCAGAAACCAAAATATTGTAGGAATTTTTCTTAAAGATATTATCGATGTGATTATTAAAATATAACTAAATGTGTTATAAAATTTTAATTATTAATAAACGTATTGTTCAATTAATTAGAGTCAATACAGTCACTTCAGATCTGGCATTAGATCTGATGTCAGATCTGATATAAGTTCTGATGCCAGATCTGGAGTCAGATATTACATACTATTTTCACCTGGGAACTCCCAACTGTAGTCGCTAAACCCTCCGCATTTTCAAAAAACCGTTTTTTCTCCAAATAACCATGTTATACTCAATATTGTACTATTAAAACGTTATGAAACTATTCTTAATTTTGTAGGATAATTTTATGCGTTTTATATTCAAGAAACTTTACCCTTTTACTGTTCAGGATGCTAAACAAATTCGTTTATACGAATATAACGTTCAATTTTAGGAAAAAAGGCGGAAAATGAGCATTTTCTTGAGTTTTTTCGGGTTTGAGAGCAAATATCGAATTCTGTTGTCTTAACTAAACTACATCCATCAAATTAAACTTTAAGACTTTCATTTAATTTCCAAATGATGACTCTGAGAGTTTCCGAGACCTAAGATCTAACGTCTTTTATTTCAAATTTATTAGTCATTTTAATCACAGTCTTCAATTTTTTTACAAGACATTCCTTATTAAATATTCGAGGTCTTGTTAAAGATTTTAAAAATTAATTAAAAAGTTATTTTTTAACCCATTAAGATCCAAGAGGACGTTTTTCCAACACTTTATTCGGTCTGTATTTTTTGTGAAAATATGCGAGTAACTAATTCTCATGTAAAATTTAATGCCTTTTCAAAATCTGATCTCAGATTTTTGAAAATATGATTACTTCAAAAGTTAAACTTGATTTGATCCGAAAAAACGTGATTTTGAAAAAAAATTTTATAGCACTGCGTGGCTAAAGTTCACGTTTAAGGCACGCTTTGCCGTGACTTAAGCTGCTCATTATTGCACCGCGGCGTGCCTATCGCACTCGCTACGCTCGTGCGCTAACCTCACACCGTGACGCTATTATGAGCACCTTATATCTCGCCAAAGGGGGCCTAAACGTGAATTTAGCACAGTGCTATAAAAAAACGTATGATACTTATGACTCAAGTAGCCCATTCTTAACACGGCACTAGCACCCTCGCTTCGCTCGGGTGCTAACAGTGCCGTGCAATAATGGCCTGCTTAAGTCACACGTATCATAATATACTATTTTTGTATTTCTCGAATTTCCAAATGGAAACAATGTGAAATCTCAGGGGTTTCGTGCAAATATCGCGTCCTCGGTATCTAAACTAATCGACGTATATTGGTCGAGGGCGAGTCCCACACACGGGGAGGTTTGGGGTTGATTTCAACTCTATCGATAAAAAAAAAAAAAAATAATTAGTGGGGTTTAGATTGGAGAAAATAAAGTTAAAAAATACACTTTATAGCACTGCGTGGCATAAGTCGCAAATTCTGGCACCGCTGCGTTCGCATCACACTCGCGTACGCTTGCGCGCTAACCTTATTTAGCGCTACCAGAAAGTGCGACTCATGGCTCGGAAAAGGGGGCATAAATGTGAACTTAGCACAGTGCTATAAAATGTTGAACGATACTCTTTCAATATACTCGCTACGCTCGGGCCCTAAACTACGCCGTGCCAACTTACTTATGCCACTAGTATCGTAAAGTATCATTTTTCTCAAGTCCTTCGTTTTTGAAAAAAATTCTAGAAGTTTTCATTCATTTTTACGTGTTTCGACTATTATTTTTTGTGTTTAAGCATTAAATTTTTCAATCGTAACCCCACTAATTTTTAGTTTAGATACCGAGGACGTGATATTTGCACAAAACCCCTGAGATATCAAATGGTTTCCATTTGATATTCCATAATGAAGCTATGAAAATGTTTGAATACTTTTTCATGAAAATGAGACATTTTTAGCAGTTCAAATTCAAGAAATACAGCAGTGCATATGTCAATTGACATATGGGGTAAGCGGGGGTATTACTGCGCAGCACCTATTACTGCGCATTGCGGAAAATGATTGTTTATGACAATTGTATTGTAAATTAATGAGTAATAATGATTTTAAATAATAGATATTGTCCTCCCACAATATAATTAAAAAAAAAATTAACATTAAAACATCAATTCATTAACGTATTATCGATTTGAAATTTAACTCCTTGATTGAGCTATTTTTTACGAAAGAAATTGCCGATAACACCTATAGAAAAGTACTTGTAACTTTTTACTTATGTGACAATTTGGTTTGCAAATATCATTTTTAATTACTTAGTATATCTATTTTATTAATACGTCGATATTAGTTTGATTAGTTATATTTTTCTACAATAAATTTGAAAAATAAATTTAGTTACGTATTTTGAACCGATGTATCAATTACGGCGCACTGTATGTACCTATTACTGCGCATATGTATAAGGTATTTCATTACAATTGTATGCGCGGCCCAATTAAACTAAATCACTCAGTTTCTAACTCACGTAAAAAGTATCGAAATGCATCTAGAAGAAAAAGGGAACCCATTATTTCGATGAGAAATTACCTCAGCTTTGCGACGGTGTGGTCAGATTTTCCGAAATTTTCCATTTTCATCGGATAAAATTGACATAAAGTTTAAAATGCTAATATCTTAAAATGCCCATTTTTAAGATTTTTTTAAGTAGTCGCAATCGATAGCTGAGGAAATTTTCTAACAATATGCAAGTTTTCAAAGTGTGAAAATGATTATTACTTAGTAAATACTTAGTAAATACTTAGTAAATACTTAGTAATCACGGAAAATTCAGTGCGCAGTAATAGACACATGCCCGCGCCGTAATAGGTGCATCGGTTTTTTTTACAATTTATTATTTTTTGAATAATATTATCTCATAAACCCCAAAAAAAACGTTTTTTATGCTTTAACGAAGCTCCCATCTGTTAGAAAAATGATAACCGATATCAAAATCATTTTTATTTTTTGTTAAATCTACTTCAGAATTAAATATGCGAAAGGTGCGCAGTAATACCCCCCTTTACCTTATGAATAAATCTCATGAAATTTCAATATTTTGCCATTAGGAAAAAAAAATTTTTCTCAAAGCACACTCGTGACATTTTTTGGGGGCTGACAAGTGATTCAGAAACCTGAAAAAAATAGTGCCCATTACATTTGGGTGACGGCCTTCGAGGATTTGAAAAAGTACATGTTAAAGTTGAAGCTGATGAACCAAATTTTTAAGACAATATTTGCTCCTAAATTTGGTTAAAATATTGATCTTTTGAAATTTAAAAAAAACCACATAACGTCATCTTTTTTTTCCAAAATTTCGACAACTAAAATGGGCAATACGAATTGCGCCATTTGAAGTGAAACTGTTAATGTGCATCGCAAAATTCGATTAGAATGCACTCAAAACCAACAATAGGCGCCGGCAAAGCCAATGGTTATATTGTATATAACTTTTTTCACGTAGCACGCACATCGAAAATAGACATACCTCTCGATTCTGCTACTCAAAAACTATTTTTCCCAATAATTTGGTAATGATTCATGGTGAGGCTTATTGGGATATTGGGATTATATACAAATATCAATAAAGTACCAAAAATCGAGTTGAATTTTTCTTAATAGTGTAGAAGGCGCAGGTAACAATGCACACTAGTCAGTGACATTTTTTTCGAAAGTATAGTTTCTGAGGATTGTTTGGTTATGATTTGGACAAAAAAGCTCGATGAGCCTATCGGGAATCAGAATTTTAAAATTAAAAATAGGATGCGTTGAATTTCAAAACGCATAGAAAACGCCGTAAAATGCATTTTTTTCTATGAATTCAAGTTTGGATCCCACTGGAAGTTGTTCTCAAGCAAAGATAAAATTGAAAACTTAACATAAACAATGCGAGGAATGGTAATTTTTAGGTTTTCATACAAATATTGTGGGGTTGACACAAATATTGAAATTTCACGAGATTTACTTTTATACATCAGTGTATATGGCCGATTCTCTGTGAAATCGAATGGCCAAAAAAATTTTTTTTCTGCAAATATGAAAAACTTGTATTTGATGTAAGATTTGTCCCAAAAAATTTTTAGAAAAATTGGGGCCTTCTATGACACTTTTTCAGAGGCCTAAAGTTGGCGATTTTAGGTTTTTTTTTGAAATTCATTAAAAAATCACAAATATTCAAATAATTCCTAGATCAGGGTAAAATTATTCAAAAGTAAAAGTGCCCAGCAACTTTTTTGTTGGAAATTGTCCAAATTTTCAGAAAAAAAGTATTCCAAAGTGATTGGAGATCTCTAGGAAAGTGAAAAGCTCTTGAAAGTTGAAAAAAACACAAAACAAGACATCCAATCGATTTCGAACCGGACTTTCATTTCCAAAACTATGTAAAAAGCTTCCCAAAGATGTTAACTACTGCCTGATAAAGTTTTGTAATGGGTCTTAAAGTTTAACGCAATGTAGACAACAATGTGTTGCGAAAAACGTGTAAGAAAGGTCTGAAAATGGCTGTTTTTGGTGATTTTAGGCATTTTTTGCGTTAAACTTTATGAATGATTACAAAACTTTATCAGGCAGTAGTTGACACCTTTGGGGAGCTTTTTACATAGTTTAGGAAATGAAAGTCCGGTTCGAACTCGATTAGATTTCTTGTTTTGTGTTTTTTCAACTTTTGAGAGCTTTCCATTTTCCTAGATAGCTCCTATCACTTTGGCATACTTTTTTTCTGAAAATTTGGACAGTTTCCAATAAAAAAGTTGCTAGGCACTTTTACGTTTGAATCATTCTTCTCTGATCTAGGAATTATTTGAATATTTGTGATTTTTCATGAATTTCGAAAAAACCCTAAAATGGCCAACTTTGATTATTCTAGAGTGAAAAATTTTGGAAAAAGAGTGAAAAAAATGTAGTTTCCTAATTTTTTTTCTAAATTTTTAATGAATTTATATAAAATGCAGGTTTATGGTAACTTTTCCCCTTTAAATATATAATATTAAAAATACCATGTGTTAGCAGATCATAGTATTAAGCTTACGTATCCGAATCAAGCTGCCTGGAAAGTATTTGCATTTTAAATTTTTCATGTGTAAACACTTTTTCAATCTATAAAAACTGCAACTCCATTAATTTATCATGCAGATTTTGAAGAGCAAATCAAATTTAGAATTTGTTTATGAATATTTTTGTGAATAATGTGAACATTTTTTAAAATATGATGATTTAAGAGAATTATTTTAAGCATGTAAATTGGAGGGAAAGGCACATGGAGTTCAATATTTTAAAACGTTTTCACATCATTTGAAATAATATTAATAGATAAATGCGTTAATTTTAGCTCAAATTGGTTTGCTCTTTAAAACTTTTAAACCATTTGAGTATTTATAGATTAAAAAAGTATAAAGAACATGAAAAGTTGAAGTATCAATGCTTTCCCGTCAGTTGGACTTGACTGTGTAAACTATATACCATAATATGCTAATGCAAGTTATTTTTAGAAATAATATGATATTTAAAACTTGGTCATGCTCTTAAACTTTAGAGCCTACAAGAGCAAACTGACCATGTGGGGCATCATTATCATATTCATAATATATTGTAGTTTCAAAAATGACTTTTTAACAAGATGATGGTACACGTTCGTAGAAAAACGATTTAAAAAATTTCAAAAAGGGTTTGAAAACTTTTTTCCTACCCTTATCAGAAAACAAGAAGCTAGTTTTATTCTATAAATGAAATAGCCGAAATATATTATGAAAATTTCGCTTTTTCTATATCGGTAGTAGTCTCTTGAAATTTTTTTAGATTTCGTAAACTTAATAGAAATAAGATGACTCCATAGTTACGTAGTGTTTTTTTTCAACCTACTGACATAACTTCTTATCTTAAACTTTTTATTACAGGATTATGAAGTTGAAAGAGATAAATATGGTCGATTATCTACTGGAAGGAGCGATAGAAACCGTGAAGATCGTTTTAAAGATCAAATAAAAACAAACACTAATCGACAGAATGTAGCTGCGGGTAATTTGAATAATTATGCTGGAACCTCAGTAAACTCTGATCATAAGTATGGAAATACGTATGGTTTGAGCACTCAATTTTTGGAATCTCTCGGTATTTGCGGCCCGTTGGTAACTCGAGTCTTCGTGGCGAATGTAAGTTCTCTTTACATTATTCAATGCTTTTTTTACTCTACTTTATCTACTAGCCATAAGTATTTTATATATGCGTCGTCATTTGCTGACTCCACAACCTCAGGTTAAGGTTCATTATTCATTCTTCTAGTTCTTTTTGTTTGGCATTTTGTATTTCATTTAGAAAAGATAATGAAAATGCTATTAGACGATGTCACCTAACTTTCGCCATCAGAGAAAGCAGCAACATGGGTACTAACCTGTGTTTTTTATATATGGCCGATTCTCTGTGAAGTCGAATGGCCAAAAAAATTTTTTTCTGCAAATATGAAAAACTTGTTGTTTTCAATGTCAGATTTTTCTCAAAAAAGGTGTTAGAAAAATTGGGGCCTTCTATGACACTTTTTCAGAGGCCCAAAGATAGTCATTTTAAGGTTTTTTTGCACTGCAATCGAGAACCGTGTTATAAGAAACCACACTTTTCCGTTTTTATTGACTATAAAGCGACCTTTACTACTTAACCGTAACACAAAACTTTGAAACAAAAAAAATAGAAAACTAAAATTTTTTCATAACGCTTTAACTTTTCAGTTGGATTACAAAGTAGATGAAAAAAAATTGCTGGAAGTTTTTAAACTTGCTGGAAAAGTATTGCACGTTGAGCTAGGAAAGGATAAAGATGGTAAATCACGAGGATTTGGAGTGATAGAGTATGATCATCCAGTTGAATCGGTACAAGCTATTTCTATGCTACATAATCAACAACTTTATGATAGACGCATGACTGTTAGACTTGATAGAGCTAATGAACCTGATGTACCTCCAAAGCTACCTGAAGGTAATTTTCAATATCTTTTTAAATATAAAAATATATCATCACTGCAAATTAAAGAGTCTTGAGAAGTAAAGTTATCATAAACGTATCATGAGATAAGATAGATAATTCACATCGTTATCTTAAGATCCAGTTTCTCAAACTTGAATATTTATGATATTTTAAGAAGAATTCAGTTGTAGACCAAGTTGAAAACCGTTGTAATATGTAATGAGGTTCAGGCCCTTCTAAGACATTTCTTGACGCCAGATCGGCTAATCTGTCCCCTATCGCATTACCCTTGATGCCCATGTGGCCAGGTACCCCGATAAGTCGGACCATGTTTTTAGCTGCCAGCGCCCCCAGGGCTTCCTTGCACTCCCAGACCAGCTTCGAGATTACTGTCCAGGAGTCCAACGCCCTGAAGGTTGCCAGCCAGAGCAAATGCTTATGCGTTTGTTCTCCGTTACGAGTTCAGCCATTCTGTACGAGCACCCCAGAATGGCCATAATCTCTGCTCCAACCAGCCCTCCGTTTTTTGACCCGTCAGTATACCAGCATTCTCCGGTGTCTGGTAAACTGTCCTGTTAGACAACCAGTCCTCTCTTGATGGGAATATGGTTTCTCATACTGGCTCTTCAACTATGCGGGCCTACATCCAGTCACCCCGTATACAGAGGATTGGGTCGTTAAGCAGCTTCAGCCTGGTATGCCTCGTACCGTGTTTCCACAGTCCAAGTAACCTGAGGCGATGTGCTGCATTTACTGCCACTGCTTGGACATCGTCATGGATTGGTAGTACATCCATGATTATCCCCAACGCTTTTGTTGAGATGGTGCTCGTTGCCCCTGTTACCCCCTTTAGCATGAGGCCCCTGAGTTTCTCTAACCGGCCCTGGCCCCTGTCAGTTCTACTCTGGGCCACGACACCACGGAGGCATGGGTTAGCCTAGCAAGCAGTATAGCCTTGCATATCCATAGGAGTGTGTTGGGCTTTAAGCTCCGCATCAGCTGTCCGGCCATACTGCAGGCCCACAGCGCCGTTGGTTGGGGTGCGCATGCTGATTGGGGTGAAGCGGGCGAGTTTGTAGTATCCTGTCTCTCAAGTATCTATCGCCACCTTCTCCAATGTCTTGAGGAAAAAGGAAGTCAGGCTTATGGGTCGGAAGTCCTTGACAGCAACGTGCTGCACTCAGCCGCCTTTTGGAATGAAGACGATTTTTGCCGTTCTCCATTCCAGTTATTTGTGCTTGCACGCAACTGAGGCCCTGAATACTCTGACAAGTGAAGCAATGAGTAGGTCCTTCGCCTTCTGTAACAGAGCCGGAAAAATTCCATCAGTCCCGGGGGACTTGAGTGGCCCGAATGTGTCTATCGCCCAGGCGACCATGCCTGATCTTACCACATCTTTCGCCACTTCCCACGACCTCACAGTGGGTCTGGGGAAGAGGGGGAGAGGGGGGGGGTTGGTCGGCCCCTCCCCTACATCCGCCCTCTGATCTGTGAAAGTTTGCGTCCAGCAGCAGCTGCAGGTATTTTTCTTCCGAGTCGGCATATTGCCCTCCTGGCTTTTGGATTGCTTCAATCCAGCTTGTGGTCCGACCTGCGAGGAGGCGGCTGAGTCTAGTGGCCACTTTGCCCCCTCAATGTTCTCGCAGAAGTCCCGCCAAGCTTTCTTCTTGGCTGTGGCCGTACTGTATATGTATAGCCTCTGCAGCTCGTTGTACTTTACTTCATCCACATCGATATTTATAAAGCAGGCTGTATTAAGTGCCCTCCTCACCTCTGCTCGCTGTCTTTGAAGCTACTGAGTCCACCAAGGCATACCTCTACCTCTTGCCTTTGGTATCACCGTCAAGCAGTTGGCTTCATAAGCTTACATAATTGTCGTCCTAATGGTGGCCACTGCTTCTTCGCAGTCTTCTCTGTTCTTGATTGAGGGCGTGTATCCCTCCAATTTCCAGTTGAGACTCTCCTCTATTCTGTATCCAGTCTGTGTGCCTGGGATTTCTGTAAGGTTCTCCTTCCTGCACATTTGTAGACCATGCATTTTGTATTAGGTTGTGATCGGAGAGAACGGTTCCTGTGATACCCGCCAACCCCGTGTCGCATGTGAAAATTCCTGGGAGCACAATGTCAAGTCTATGATCATCTCCCTACCTCCACTCCTGAACGTGGGTCAACTGCCCACAGTGTGCTTGAAGAGCATATAGGTTTGCCAAAAATACCTCTAAATTCTGTTGTAAGTGTTCGAAAGAATGTAAGCCACTGAATATGAAACCGTTTGAACGAAAATCCTAGCTGCTACTATAGTGAAATGCTTTCTTAATCTGCATCAAACCATTGTTGCCGTTATTTAATATTGGTGTTTTTTTGGGGGGTTTGTTTAGTTGAAATATAGTAAACTCACTTAAATCCTTACTCATAGTTGTACAGCTTTAAAGTGCAGGAAACAACCTTTAATTTGGTTACTTCAAAAACATTCCAAGTCATATAGAACCGGAGATACAGATATATGAAGATTCACGAATAATTTAAGTATTAAATGTGTGAACCGTTGATGAACTAGATTTGATACGTGGATTATTCATGAAACTTCATACAGCTGTATTTCCGGTTCTGTGTGACTTATAATATTTTTAAAGTGACCAAATTAAAGGTAATTTTCAGCACTTCAAAACTGTACAACTAAAAATATGGATTAAAGTGTGTTTAATATTTTTCAAATGAACAAAACTAAAAATAACAACTTATCCTTTTTTTCTCGATTTCTTGTCAAACGTTCATTTGCTATATCTTCGGTTCTGTTTGTAATAAAATTTTCTTAACATGACCAAATCAAAGGTTATTTCGTGTTCTTCAAAGCTAAAAAATTTATTATGGGGGCACAACAGTTTCAATGCGAGTAAAATGACACAAACCGTTAAAAAATGACAAATATCTAATATTGTCATATTTTTTCAATGTCTTTTAGCATTACAGTAATATTTTTGAGTTCTAAGAAGCATCCAATCTTCAAACTAGAATAAAAAGTAACTTTTCATGCTTTGCTGACGACTAAAAAATAAATACAAAAGTATTACTGTAATGCTAAAAGACATCGAATAAATATGACAATATTAGATATTTGTCATTTTTTAACGGTTTGTGTCATTTTACTCGCATTGAAACTGTTGTGCCCCCATAATAAATTTTTTAGCTTTGAAGAACACGAAATAACCTTTGATTTGGTCATGTTAAGAAAATTTTATTACAAACAGAACCGAAGATATAGCAAATGAACGTTTGACAAGAAATCGAGAAAAAAAGGATAAGTTGTTATTTTTAGTTTTGTTCATTTGAAAAATATTAAACACACTTTAATCCATATTTTTAGTTGTAAAGTTTTGAAGTGCTGAAAATTACCTTTAATTTGGTCACTTTAAAAATATTATAAGTCACACAGAACCGGAAATACAGCTGTATGAAGTTTCATGAAAAATCCACGTATCAAATCTAGTTCATCAACGGTTCACACATTTAATACTTAAATTATTCGTGAATCTTCATATATCTGTATCTCCGGTTCTATATGACTTGGGATGTTTTTGAAGTAACCAAATTAAAGGTTATTTCCTGCACTTTAAAGCTGTACAACTATGAGTAAGGATTTAAGTGAGTTTACTATATTTCAACTAAACAAACCCCCCAAAAAAACACCAATATTAAATAACGGCAACAATGGTTTGATGCAGATTAAGAAAGCATTTCACTATAGTAGCAGCTAGGATTTTCGTTCAAACGGTTTCATATTCAGTGGCTTACATTCTTTCGAACACTTACAACAGAATTTAGAGGTATTTTTGGCAAACCTATATGCTCTTCAAGCACACTGTGTGCCCCGGTTCAGGATAACGAGGTTCGAGGAGGTCAGACTTTCCAGCAGTGCTTCGCCCCCGCTGTCGATGTCAGGGCACCCTCAAGCCATATGATGCGTTTATAGGTCTCACCTACCATTCACGCCTGCGACCGGTTGAGCAACACCGAGCAGGCTAGTTGAGCCCCCTCACCCGCCAAGGAAACCACGGGCTAAGGCCCGACTCCCCGGGCTATGTCAAGGTCCCAGTCCGTCAAGGGGGTACGTTTGCATCACACATCATGTCGGCTTTAGAAGGCTGTTCCCAAAATAGAACTAGAATTCCGAACCGATAACTAAAAAATTATGCAATCCAAATTATTAGCAAAATTTTCACACGTATCACCCGGATCGTCACAGTCCAATTATTATTTGATAGAATTAAAAAACATATAAATATATAATATGGTGCATTATTTTAAAAGCTTGATGACATGTCTTGTTATTGTAGCTATTAGAAAACTTTAAAAAAATTAAAACAAAGACGGTAGAACTTTTATTTTACCGAATTCTACCTTCCGCCACTATGAAATTTCCATCAATAAAGACCACATTGATTTGCCAGTCGGATGAACATACAATTGTCCCCTCCGTGACCTGTTCTGAACTCAGAATCGATTGTTTTCCCTCATTAAACACATTTTTATAAATATACAGCAATATTGTGGTACATGGGCGGGCCCTATTCTATACATCCTAAAGAAAGTTTTTTTGCACCACTCGTCATCTCAAATAGTCTCAAAACAATTGTTCATAAGTAATAAATGAGTCCTTAATTCATGTGAAATTTTACATCATTCCGAAAATAGGGCCAGTAAACGAGCTAGACAGTCATTTTGACCTCTTTAACTATATGAGGGTCATCTTTCAGAACTAAGGTACTCGATTTTTACCCGTAAAATATTCAAATCTTAATTGCTTCGCTATAAAAATAGATGCACACGAAAATTGTAATAGTAAAATAAAGTGTTCACTCCGTGATTGACGAGTTTGCGAACTAGAACTTTTTGTTTTGACTCTGGTGGCATAAAAACGTAAATATTCCATAAAAAAACAAAGAATCAAGCATCAGAAACTACGGGGTCCGGAAAAATTGAACTCTAAATAGAAGAAAGTAAGTTTTTTAGATTTTCCAATATTGCCCATTTTACCCTCTCCAAATATCACACTTTTGAAATAATGCACCATATACAATTACAAATATACAATGACTCATATAACCGGAGACATTGTTAATATAAAAAATAGTTAAAATAACGATATTGCATACGGTCAATGCGTAGAGCTCGGACTGCGGGTCCATATATTGTTCACTTACCACCATTTTTCACTAATAATATCTCCGGTTCTAATGGTCTCATTAAGACGAATGAAAAAAGAAAATCTTCGTCTTTTCATGTAGAATAAAATGAAATAAAATGTTTTTGTATATATTCAATAGTTTAGGAGTTATAGCCGTATAAACAATTATTTTTATTTGATTTTATTCATCTTAAAGAGTGTCCAATTTCTACCTCGTGCAGAATTTTTGAGGCCATCGTAGGGCCTCGCCACATTAACCCCGAAAAAAATACACTCGAAACAAAGAGATTCGTGGCTCCTGAATCTGATTTAGTCAAAAAAAAAAAAGACTTGCTGGCCGCTAATCAAAGTGAAGAATAAAATAAAAGAAAATTCGTGAAAAATGGCCTATAATACGCCCGGGGGAGAAATCAGAGCAAAATTGGGACTCCTGGCTCATAAAATCGTTATATTTAATATATTTTCCAGCCCTTCCAATAGATATAAAAAATAGATACTTGATTATTAACGAGACACACCTGTGTTTATGCATGTAAATGCAAAAACATGAAAATTAAAGATTAATGTTAACATTTTTGGTTTCTGATGTGTAAATATATTTTTACAGGTCCTTTTACAATAAAAAATATGTCTGTAGTTCCTTTTATTATTAAAATTCATCCAGGATTCATATATGATGACTTATGATTTTCAAGTCCTTGACCGCATGATTTTGAATGTAATATTTAATCAATTGTGATCCTTCAGGTCTCAAAAGTTTTGTAATTAAATTCTTTTTCACTTAAGTGTAACAGAATTTCAAGAAAAAGCTTGAAAATTTTTATTCACATTAAAGTACAAAGAAAATGACAAAAATAGCTTTTTTACTAACGCTTATTGCTATATTTGAAGATAAGCAGATTAAAAAAATAACTAAATAAAAAATCTGCTACACTTAAGTGGAAAAGAATTTAATAACAAAACTTTTGAGACCTGAAGGATCACAATTGATTAAATATTACATTCAAAATCATGCGGTCAAGGACTTAAAAATCACAAGTCAATATATATGAATCCTGGATGAATTTTAATAATAAAAGGAACTACAAACTTATTTTTTATTATAAAAGGACCTGTAAAAATATATTTATATATCAGAAAAAAAAATTTTAATATTAATGCTTAATTTTCATGTATTTGCATTTATAGGCATAAACACAGGTGTGCCCCCTTAACATATTTGCTCAAAACGTGGTGAAAGCTTTAGGCTACCTTTCTTTTTATAGCAAAAGAATAACTTTTTACACTATTACAAAGCGATTTTTAAAAATAAGGGTTTTTTGCTCAACTCTACTGGGCAGGAATGTCAGCGTCCAAGCAGCAGACATCGAGGCGAAGAGCATTTTCTACGATATCCACGCTCGCCTCGAGACATCGGAGCAGATTCACCTTGATGAAATTCTCGGGCCGTCGTGAGGACTGGAGTTGTTTCGCGACCTCTTTTTTGCGCTGATTCATCGCGACGAAACCCTGAGCAACATAGAGCATTTGTACTATCTCAAGACCTTGATAAAAAAGTGTATAGATTCTCAAACATAAAATATGCACCTCATCTATGGTTCACGTAGGGTTGGAAATCCATGCGCAAACTTGTAATTTTAAGCGTAAAAGGGTCAAAAGAAATTCAGTCTAATGAATTTTATTTCATGAAAAAACTTTCTAGAGGACACTTTTATACGATTTATGCAGTGTTGGAATTTCTTATTGCTAAATTTTATTGCATAAAAATGAAATATTGAGATTCTCAAATTATTTCCAATATTATCGAAGCAGTCGAAACCATAGGCTACCGCTGAAGAGTACTTTAAAGAACAAAAATAGAAAGAAATAAATAAAATATAATTCAACTTCAAATAAATTACCGTACCACCTATTCATATTATCAATTAAAACACTGTACGTTTCTAAATTAGTCAATATGCTACTGTAGGTCTCAAAGGTATTGGTATGGGTCTCGGAGCTGGAGGAAACAGACTTACAGACGTTGCCAGAAATATTCCGAATGTTCAAGCTAATAATTCTACAGGTACTAATACAATTTCTGCTCCAGTGCTTTCCGCCAACACATTTGGATCTAGCCTGGCAAACGTAGTACCTGCACAATTAGGTAATATGAAAATTTTATATTTTGTAGATCTTTATCACTAATAGTTTGATAAAACCATAATTTAAAATTGTAACTATGTGATATTCAACCCATTTTAACACGCTTTTATATAATATACCATCGTCAGAATAACGGAGAAATTATACCTTTTCATTGCTCTTTTCAAATTCAACCTTAAGCGTACAATCAATGGCAAACCAGTTTTTAATCTTGCGAGTTAAAAAATATTAAAATTGAATGTTAAATATAATAATTAAATGACCGAACCTAGTTTTTCCCAGTTTGCACATTTTTTAGGTCACTTGACGGTCAGAATTAAAAACAAAATGTAAAAAAATATAAATAGAATTTATATTTATATCCCGTGAAATCACGCAGAGTGATGATGTAAAAAAAATAAAAATGCTCTATTCTACCTATTTTTTTACGGAGAATCTAATGGTGACCATAGATTTGATCTGCGACATACCTTCAGAGCTATAGCAAACCTAAAATCAAATTTTCAATGAAAACCCAGATTTCTTATTAAAGTTTAGAAAAGAGCGAACAATTTTAATTTTCGTTTGAATGAGTCTCGAGTTATTCTTTTTTTTTCATGGTCATTTCAAAGGTAAATGATATGTGATTTTTTCGGATTTTCATATCAAATTCTTTTAGTTAAACCTTCCAACAAACATTAAAGGTGAATTCGTAGAGGTTCTTGGACTTGAAATTTGTAAAAGGTCACTTAAAATCTCATGATTTTTGTGCAAATACAGTGTCCTGGATACCTAAATTAAGATACTAAATATTATCGTGATTTGGATCACAAAATAGTGTTTGGGACCCGGAAATATGAAAAAAAAACTCCTTGGATTAGGTTTTTAACCCATGCCCCAAGGACACGAATTTGGCATGGTACTTTTCGTTTATACCACGTCCTAATCGAAATGGAAAAAACTATGAAAACAATAAGCCTTTTCCCTTTTCCCTTTTGCCTTTTCCTTCAAGAACATCAAAATGAAGGTCGTCATAGAGCCTTTTGGAAAAATATTCAGTAGAAGTTTCCGAAAACTGGATTGAAATTTTGAAATTTTAGCTGGCTTTTATATCTCCTTAAAATTATTTCAATGTTACAGCGAACCAAAATTTTTTTTTTAAATAAAAACCTTTATTTTTTGTTGCACATAAGTAACAAAAGTTACTATAAAAAAATAGTTCGCAGTTTGAAAATTGAAATGAAAAACATTAGTTCTCAAAAATACGCTTTTTTTAATTTATTTTCAATTTCTTATAGCAAATTGCTAATTTAGGTAATTGTGAACACCACAATTAAATATAATGCTATCAAAAACAAAAGAGACTGTAGTTTTTATGAAAATTCTGTGTTCGATTGAGACGTAGTAAAAGCGAAAAGTTGAATGTTAAAATCGTGTCTTTGCAGCGTCAATGGGTTAATTACTAAAAAGGAGCCGAATACTTTTTTATTCCTCGAAGTATAGGAATTGAATGGATGATACTTTGGGGAATTTAAAGAAAAATTGATGTTCGGAATAAGTCAAAACTGTATGAATGAAGTAAAGATAAAGGGTGGTGATTTACAGCTTCAGAAATTGGAACTGAAAAATTTCAAGGAACGATTAGAAATTGAAGAAAAATTGAAATTAAAAATTAAGAATTGAATTAAGGACAAAATTTTAAGGCGACCGAAATAGTACATTACGTGCCTAGAAGCGAAAAACTGGAAAGCCCCAGAGCATGTGTAATTATCGGCCGAGGCAAAGCTGAGGTTGAAAAACACGAGCTCTGGGGCTTTCTTTTCTCGATTCATAGATACGTATACTATTTTTCATGAATCCCCCAGCAGAAATTAACTTTTTCGTTTTGGCCGCCCGGACGACAAAGATTAGTTTCGGCTGGGGTAGCATGAAAAAAAGTTTCTAATTGTAAATAATATATAATTAAGAATTTTCTGATTGAAATTTTAATTTCAATAAAAATATGAGTTTGCTATGCGAAGCACGCAAGAAAAATGAATCTTTTCTACTTTTAAATATATGTGAATGTCAATACATGAATAAAATGTAATATTTGTTACATGATATATTTTACCTTTTGTTAGCTTCGGCCTTGTCCAATTCCAATGCAGCAGCACTTCAAGCAAGTTTAGCGACTGGATTAGGTGCTAACCTCACGCCCAATTCATTGCTTAATAATTCGATCACAAATGAGTTAGCATCAAATTTAAATAGTTTCACACATAACACGAGTCTTGCAAATCTTCAAGCTTCATTAGCTAATGCACAATCAACTACCAATTTTGCTTCAAGAAATTTACCAAAGCTAGACAACGAGATAACTTTTAGTAATAATAATTCATTTGCAAACACATCCTTCAATACTAGCAGAGAATATGAAACTGGATTTAACAGAAATGATTCTGATCGAGTTAATATGAGTAATGCATCTTTTGTTGGTGGAAATAATCAAACAGCTGGTAACAGACCAAATAACTCTAACTCCCGCCAAGGATCCGAATCAATTGTTATTCAAAATGTAAGTTAAATTTACTATAAAATATTTTAATCATAGTAGTGAAGGTATTCAAATTTTCAATCTTCAAAGAGGATTTTTTCCTCTTTTCATTGTTCTTGTTGAAATTCTAGAATCTTTATTTTCTATTGAAATGCAGTCGTTCATCCCTTTCCTTTACACATTATTTATTAAACTTTTGCTTCCTCATTGAGGAAGTTCTGTGATGGGTCCAAAATGGACTTGTGTCAATTTTTGTGTCTGGTAAATTTCGATTATATATTCGTAAACAAGACAGAATTTGTGATTGATGTATGTACGTGTGCTTTTTTTTTATCGAGAAAGGAAATCTATTTACGGATTCAACATGCGATGGTTGCACGGATATGTTGGACTTGAATAGTGTACTGGTCGTGCACTATTATAACCGACTAAAACCTTCCTAACTTCTCCTGCACTTTTCATTCCACGCGGAACCACCGTTTGGTATTACCTCGCGAGGAGGAACTATCGCTCTGTACGAGCTCTCTTGGGTGAGACAATCCCCATCCACCGTACGACACCAGGTTGGGCCGAGTGATGTATGCCCCGAAAGGAACTTGTCGGTACGTTGCCTCGGCATTACCTTAATCCATTAACGACCAAAATGCTTAATTTTTTCATTGGTTTTTGCAGCGATTTTTTTTTATTGTAGTTTTAGGCCTTAAAAAAATTTTGCATGGACTTATTTCGATGTAAAATTTAATGCTTTTTCAAAAACTGAGCTCAAAATTTTGATTTTTTGCGTAATAAAAAAGTTATAGCTACTCAAACAAAATAAAACTGTAAAAATTTTTGCAAAAAATTAAATTCTTGATTATTTTTAGCCTTGTTACCGCTAAGGAATCACGATATAAACATGATCATGGGTGATCACAACTAATAAAGTATTTCAGTGAATTATAATAGATTTTTCAAACCACTACTTCAAACAAAAAATAACTCATGTTCATATAAAACATAACTCATTTTTACTCGAAAACTATTGAGTTTTGAGAAAAAAAAGCACAAAACAAAAGTTTGAAAAGTGGTTCAAGAATTTTATGAAAATTCCCTAAGATACTTTGATAGTCGTGATCACCTCTAATCATATTTATATCGTGATTCCTGAACGGTAACATAGTGAAAAAAATCGAAAACTTGATTTTTTCATAAATTTTTACGTGTTTTTTTTTGTTTAAGTGGATATAACTTTTTTAACATGCAAAAAATCAAAATTTTGAGCTCAGTTCCTGAAAAAGCATTAAATTTTACATCGAAATAAGTCCGTACGAAATTTTTTTAAGGCCTAAAACTACAAAAAAAATCGTTGCGAAAACCAACGAAAAAATCAAGAATTATGGTCACCCGTTAACGCCTAGACGGACAGAACTTTTTTCTCTATTGTAGTCTGCAATTAAATCATCTTATCAGAGCGAAAAAAATTCTTGAGTATCTATTTTCGATCTAAAGTTAAACGTAATTTTTGAATATGAGTTTATAATTAACCTCTAATAAATATTAAAAAAGTTATAAACAATTTACTGCGAAAAAACAGGATTTTTAATCCTGAAAAAAAACTTCGATTCAAATTTTTTTTATGAAATTGACTTAAACTGTGGCCAATAATATCCAAAATTGTGGAATAAGAACCTAAAGTTTAAAATATTGCAGGTAATTACTGTAGGCCTTTGGAGTCTACTATCTTGAATCTTCAAATTCCACCTACAGTATTTTAAACTTTAGGTTCTTATTCCATAATTTTGGGTATTATTGGCCACAGTTTAAGTCTCTTTCATAAAAAAATTTGAATCAAAGTTTTTTTTTAGGATTCAAAATCGTGTTTTTTCGCAGTAAATTGTTTATAACTTTTTTAATATTTATCAGAGGCTAATTATAAACTCATATTCAAAAAGTACGTTAAATTTTACATCGAAAATGGGTACTCAAGAATTTTTTTCGCTCCGTGAAGATGATTTAATTGCAGACTATAATAGAGAAAAAGTCTGTCCATCTGGGCGTTAACAGGTTAAGATACTCAAAGCACACGCCCTGCCTCTGCAACGAGCAGCTGACCAAAAATCATACTTTCCTAGAGATCTCTATGGTTATTTGGAATTTTCTATACGAAAATCAAAAATTTGTGTACGTATTTTCCTCTGAATAGCCAAACCCACAGCCGCCAAACATCACCTCTCGATAGACTGACACGTATCTCGAGGATCTGCGTCATGCGTATCGGTATTGGAATCAATTATCAACGCGCATAATTTATTAATGCAATCAATAGATTTGCGAGAAGCCATTTCGTTCGTAACCGCTTGTGAGTACGTACGCTCAACACCATGAGTTGAAAGACGTATGATTGTGAATTCCATGAATTTTCCGCCCATATGAGATTCCGAAGTATGATTGCTCATTGTCTAGCCAAGACGCATAAAAGGAATAGTACTTATTGGGATCTGAGATGGAGGCGAGACTATCGAAACCACGTGACCTTTGTGGCTACCGCTCATATTTTATGTAGCATTTTTTACCGATGATCCGAGTTTAACATAGAGAGTATTGGGTATAATACGAGTTTATGCTATGTTCATTGCAGTATATTTATTGCTTAATAATCATTTTTTTTAATCAAACAAATGTGTTAATAAGTTCCCTGTAGTATTTGAATAGCGGATACTGCCCCATTGTTAATAATTTTTCGAAATTATTCAATGACAAAGGTTTTAGATTGCTTACCTCGTCTGCTTTGGTAAAAGATACACATGCAGACTGCTCGTCGATTCAGTTTGCTCCTCTATGTAATGCTGTGAGAACATAGTATTACATCATGAATTCAAATAGATGTGATTTTTCGTAGTTTTCACCTCGAAAAAAGATAACAGTGATAGTAAATGCTTTGTTACTGGATGTGACACTCGTGCAGATAAAAACATAACATTAAAATACCACAAATTTCCAAAACGGAATACAATTGTCAAAATGGAAAATGCGCTTGGAAAAGTTAAAGATTACAATCGAACAAGCTTAGCGAAAAGCCATTAAATATAAAAATGTATTACATAATCGTGTGAAAGTGTGCTCTTTGCACTTGACTATAGACGATTATTATCTAACAGGTGTGTATTTATAAAATGTTTTCAATTTAACAGCTAGTATGTCATAGTTAAGGTTATGTTTACATGTCAGTAACTTTGAAATTTGTTTCAGAATTTGATTGCAAGAAGAAGTGTTTAAAACCAACAGCAGTCCCATCTTATAACTTGTCACAGACTTTTTGGGGGAAAAAAAGCTCTTGGTGATAACCGCTTGAAAAGACCTATTCAGCGTCATAAACGCAAAAAGATTCAAGCCCAAGTCTTAGATAATGTAGACTCAAGCTCAGCTGCTGAACTGGCTTTTGTTGCACCTCAAGAATCTATAATTCAATGTGACAGTGAAGAAAATGAATTAGCAATTGAGCACAAGAGAAGTGAACACGAAGAGATGTTACATGAGCTTAGTTATGTACAAGAGCCGATAAATAGTGCCTTGTCAGATAAGGCAGATATGGAAACGACATTACCAATGACATGTACGCACTTAATAAGTACAGATAAACGACTCAGCACAATGACTGGACTTGATTCGTTCAAGCTTTTGGATTCACTAATATGCCTTACAGTGCTCTACAAATTCTTTTCCAGTGCTATTCTGAACGTTATTGCCAGAAGGTATTAACAACTATGCTCAAAGCATTGAGTGTGTGTCTCGGAATATTTATTCCATGGACATCAAGAAGTAAAAATTTAAGAAATATCCCTAAGAGCTTTGAGGGGTTTGAATCTAAGCACCAAAAAACTGTGCTGTCAAATTATTACATATTCTCACTATAAAGGAACACAAACAGTGAAGATCATGATATGAGTGCTACATGCTGGGATGATTACTTTTATAATGGTGGTCGAGCAAGTGATTTATCTATATTCAATCAAAGTAATTTTGTAAAAGACTGTCAGCCAAAAGATGGGATCATGGTGGATCGTGGCTTCTTAATAGATGGGCCATATGAGACAAATCAAATACATTTCTGTAGACCTCCTTTTTTAAAACAAAGTGCCCAGTTTAGTCAAGAATGGAAATAAAATAGCTTGTGCTCGAGTGCACGTAGAAAGAGCGAATCAAAGAATAAAGAGATTTCAAGCTCTAGGAGGTACGATGCCATCATGTCTTTTGCCATTAGTTGATGATATATACACAGTAGTACGTGCAATTGTCAATCTTAGTTCACCTATTCTGAGTAATGACAAGTTTGTAAATAATGACAAATAATAATAAATATGTAAATATGAAAATATATATAAATATAGTATTTTTTTAAATAAATAGCAATTTGCAGCAATTTTGTGCCATTTTTGTGTAAATCGAGAAAAGTGCATTTGTTTCTTTAAATAACGACTCAGCACGATCATCTATTAAAAAAATGTGAATGCATTGTTTGATAGATTTTTGTCTCACCTTTCCAAAGCGGTATTCAGATTTAAAAATGGCCTAAATTTCGCCGAGATACAGCTGTTTTTGTGCGATGCGTTTTTGTAACTGAAAATTCAGTATTTCGGCTTCGGGTTCTCGAAAAATCACGTTTTTCCTCTCTCTTTACAACATTCTGAGAAATCTATAGGAGCTATCGAAACGAAATTTTAGCCCAAAATTTTGCAAAAGTTACTGCAAAAAATTAGTGTAGTTTTCAAATATTTTTGGGGTTGGCTCAGACATTCAAAGAGAAAAAATAGATCGTCAAATCTTATTTAAATCGAAAATGTAAATTCTCGTTTAGTGACTAGTGAAAATTATTTAAATGGGCTAAAAATTTTTTGGGATTCTTTTTTAGGCATATGGAAGACATTGTAATCCTATACACTGAGAGAACGATTGGTGGGCCGCCCCACTACGGTCGTGGTATAGCCACTCATGTGCTATTGCGTAGCGGCGACACAAAATTGTGTGTCTGATCCACAAAAATTGCGTTAGGCATGCTCAATGTAGATGAGGGTTAGGTACTCAGTAAATTTTGTGGGACCGTCACACAATAACGTGTAGCTTGCGCACAACAACGTGTAGCTCGCACACAATAATGTGTAGCTCGCACACAAAACTGATGTGTAGCAGCGACACGGCAACTTGTGGTTCTGCTACCAGGCGCCGTGTGGCGTATATTCAATCGGTCTCTCCGTGTAACGTCTTGCATTCAACCAATAAGCATATGAATTGATTGTTTTCAACGATAATTTAAAAAAATTTAATTGCATCCATGATGCAAGAAATTTGTTGCAACAATCAAGAAGAGTAAAATCAATTTTCTCTTTTTTAAATCCTCCAATAATGTTTAATATTGGCAATGATATATAGATCTCAGTGCGTTGATTTGCTCTTCACTCGCTAGACAGCTTTTAATGATCTAAACAGACTCATGTCTTCCACTGCTATTGAAACAAAATGAATGAATGTTAAGTAATGATTTTAAAGTAAAATTTTAAATACTTTTATAATAATATATTACATATGCTTCATAAAAGCTGAATTGGGCAGATTTCTTGCAACAATCGCAGTCAGGGATTGTTTCTCATCATCGGTCAAATGAACCGTAGTTTCATTATTGAATTTTTTTTCTATTGCTTCATTATAACAATTGTGATCTAATAAAGGCTTTATTTCATAGTTCTCGAAAGCATGCTCTTTCTACGAGCATTTGCCGTCGGTACAGGATAATGTTTCTAAGTGATCGTGCTTTCTGAAAGAAACCGAATTTTTACTCTTAATTATTTGTCTTTGAAATCGAACAATTAACCTAAAATTAATGAAATGGTTTCCTTACGCATAGCGCGCATAGCAAGGTCGTAATGACATGCTTACACTTTCCGCTTTTACCAGCTTTACATTCACTTCAGCATGATGAAAACGTGACTAGCCTCATGTTTTGACCATCTCACTTGCAGCTACAAATGCCATTGTCAGTCCGTCGTTTGTAAACACAGAGCTTGTACAAATTTCAGCCCGTCACTTGTAACGCCTGAAACTCCGCACCTTATAACATGCCCCGCTTGGAAATCCCGATCACCTTCAACATGATTACGTTGGTCTTAATTTACACCGGTCCAAACTGTAATATTTTCCCATGATATGGGCATTTTTAAGAAAAATATCGATGACTCCCTATTATCTGTATGTTAAATTTAACTAAACTCGGATCATCGGTAGCCGCGTGGGTCACATGATTTCGATCGCCACGCCCTCATATCAGATCTCAATACTTTTTTCGTTATATTATAAACACGTACTTGGGAGGTTTATACAAATTCAGCTTTTTCGGCCTGGAAAGTAACCTCCGTACCGGAGGCTTATACCTTTATTTCCGACTATTCCTCATTTTTTACCTATCCATTTCTTTTCCTTAACCTTTTTTATTAATTTCTATTTTTCCCTAACCTTCGTTACCTACGGTTTTCCTATTCTTTCATCCATCTCCGTATTTGCCCGGGGTTATGTCTGTGATATGGGGAACAACTCAGAGAGAAAAACCCATACCAGAGTTGGTCGGTGCCTTTATGACACCTTCCGCTAGCACATGATGACGCCGGCAACCATTGCTGAGCGATGCGCGAGGGCGCTATGCGCTTGACAAAATGGATTCCGTGGTGGTCACCTATCCACGTTGTGACGTGCGAGGTTTTGGGCACTAGCCCATGCTCGGCCTGCCGTCTAATTATTTCTTACTGAGGCTCCGGTTAGCCTATCGTTGAGTCTTACCTCAGAAGGGGTCGAGCCGCCACCAAGTGCGCCGCGAACGTCGGCAGTCCAAGCTCAAAATAAGTGAGAGAACCACGAAAATAGTGACTCGAACCACGTCTCGAATGTCCAAGGTCCTCGCGACAATTAATCCGATTTCCACGACTCTTACTACACAACGATTATACGGCGAAACACTTCTTATTTTCTCTCCTACATTCACACTCCGCCATCATACAACACTCTCACACATCCGCGCGACCGACCAAGTCTACTCCAATTTACAACCTTCTTCGTCGCTCCGTTGCCTCGGCCTTTATCCTCGATGTTGTCTTCCGCTGTCTCCCAGCTGCTCCGTCTTCGTGGTCTGCCCGGTCCAAGGGGCTCTTGCCTCGCCTCGGAGATGCCTCGGACGATTGATCAGAAGGTCGCTGTACAGCAAATCGCGTGGCTCGCTGCCTTCCAAGCTTCACGATCACCTCGTCACCTCGCAACTCTTCTCTCGTCGACGGAACTCCAGGCTTGAACACCGCCTCTCCACGGACACGACACACGAATTTCCGCTGCACACACAGCTTCTTCACGACCTTACTCAACCGCTGCCACACAGCTTTTCACGAACAACTCAACCGATCACCGCTGCCACACAGCTTCTCCACGGCCAACTTAACCGCTGCCACACAGCTTCACACCCGAATTATTACTCTCACACACGTCCGTCGTCTCTCGCGGTCTGATAGCGAATCCCCGTGTGCACTGTCGCGCAGATCGACGACGCATCGAGCGCGAAGCGCTCGATTCGCACGGCTCGATCTACTCTCCAGTGCACGTGGTCTGAGAGCCGCGTCCGAGGTTAACTTGGCTCTTTCTTTGCCCTGAACCTCGAACGCGAGCTCGAGTGATACTCGATTCCCTTCCTTATCATGCTTCTCGGTCGCGCAACTCACTCGTACATACACACACTACAGCTCGTATAATTCGCGTGAAATACCGCCCAGTGACATCGTCACAACGCACTTACCGCGACTTATTATGCTTTATTTCGCACAACGCCCGAGCTGCGAGTACTTCGCCCCACCACCTGCTTCACAAAACGAATGGTGTGAGTGGACGAATTCTTTTGTATTCAAGGATTCTTTTTGTTATTATCATTTTTATTTCTGTCCTATTTAACTTTATGATCCACGGGTCGTACTTTTGTAATGTGGCCCTAACTGTTTTTGCTAGCCCAATTTAGCTTGTAATTTCCATGTCAATAAAACTCTATTACTTATTTTTCATTAAAACTATTATTGTGTGAATTATATTATTGTTCTGACGTAAGCCATATCCTTATAAGCTCTCGAACTTCTTGACCTCTTTGCGTCGCTAAGTGGTAGAGGGAGATGAAGTCACATCAACGGGTTATTCAAAAGGAAACATCTTCTATTTTGACAATAATTATAAGAATAATTTTTGATTTTCAGCTACCACCAAATACAACTTGGCAAATGGTTAGAGATAAATGTCAAGAAATTGGAGAAGTTAAATTTGCTGAAATGAGAGGAAGCGATTTTGCCGTAGTGCGCTTTGCTTCGGAGTGGGATGCAGAAAGAGCTGTGTGTATCCTTTAAAAATACTATCGCGATAAATGATGGAATCCTCTTTAATAAATCAAGCAGAATGTCCCCCGTAGAAAATCAATACGTATTTTAGGGACGTCTTTCAAACACATATTTCAAATATGTCTTTTTGACGTCTTTGAAAATCTTACTTTCGTAAGTCAACGTCTAATGGTTTTTTCAAACTCATGTATACACTGATGCTTCTATAAAATGCACATGCTATACAGATTTACAGTCCCCTGAGATTATCTAGAATTGGCAAATAAAAATAAAGACGTCAAATATTTTCAAATAGTAATTATTAAGTTAAAAAAAATTTCGTTTGTTTTTTAATTTTTTTTAATTATTTAAACTTTGGAAAATGACGTTTTTTCGGAACCATTGGATAATAAAAAGATATCACGGCAATCTGGAAGGTTGTGTTTATTCGAGAAAAGAATGTCAGGTGATAGTGTAAACGCCATTTCTTTCACGATGTAAGCAATAAACTTTTCAAAATGCTGTCATTATTGATTAAAATGACGTCTTTTTTTGTTCCAATTCAAGGCACAGTCAAAGATGTCCTTAAAAGACGTCTCTAAAATACTTATTGATTTTCAACAGGGTTATTTTGCGATTAAATATTGAGGTTGCGATAAGCTCTTGATTTGTTCGCTGAAATCGAGTCATCACGTAAATGTTGTGTGCTGAGGCATTTGAGTTCAAAAGTACAGATCATGCCAAAAGTGTTATCTAAAGTCTTACTACGAATATTGTTACACTGTATGGAGTACTTCTAAGTGGTAAACTCGAAAACGCTGTAGCTAATCTTGAATTTGTTTAAAAAACAAATTATTGCGAAAGACTTTTTTCTCGTGTTTTCTTCTTTCAACCGAAAACTTCCAGTAAGAATTTTTCATGTTCAATGGAAAAATTGTAGAGGTTTGTAACATTTTTAAAATGAGCTCACGAGCAATTCAATCGGTTAATTTTTGCTGATAGAACTCGAAAAAAGTTTTTGAATTAATTTATTGTTTAAGGAGGTTCGGGGGTCTCAGCGAAATGCAGCCAAATTTTTAAAACACGTTTAATTGCTTTGGAACTTTATAATATGAATGTTAATATCAAAATACAACCATTTAACATGGTTTCTTACGAGAAATCATGAATTTTCGATTTCAATGAGCATAAACATAATGTAAAAAAACAAAAACTAAATAGAAAAAAATACGTACATATAGGAAATTTAATAAGGAATAATTTGACTGCAAAAAGAAGTTCATCGACCGTTTAGTTATCGAGAAATAAATTGTTATGTGTAAAAATTCGTGGGTCATTTGCGCGTACCCTAACCAACAAATGAGCTAGAACAACAAAAATATGTGCTCGTTCGACTCTAATGACAAATAGAGTATTGTTTTAAGGGCTTATATACACCTTAAATTCAAAATTTTTTTTATTCAATTTTTGAATAGGATTTTTTCTCCCCTTTCCATTGCTTTTTTCGAAATTCCAAAATTTTGATTTTGCACTGAGATACAGCTGTTTCCGTGAGCCTTTTTCCTATACTTTACGTGTTAAATTTTTTCTTCTTTTGCGTTTTCTGGCGAGTAGTGTTTTTGGTCACCTGTCGTAATATTCAGATGGTATCGATTGAACTTTCTGCACCAGGGTCGCGTACACTTCTTCAGAACATGAATGGTTATGGCCACTACCACGGGCAAGACGACCGAACACTCAGGTTGCTCTGCATGAACAGTTAAACACACATTTTTTTTCATTTTTCGTTTTTGCCGAAATTTAAGTCATAAAAGTACGTTTTGAAAATGATCTATGAGCTCAATCGTCTCACCCGTGGTAGTGGCCATAACCATTCATGTTCTGAAGAAGTGTACGCGACCCTAGTGCAGAAAGCTCAATCGGTACCCTCTGAATATTACGACAAGTGACCAAAAACACTACTCGCCAGAAAACGCAAAAGAAGAAAAAATTTAACACGTAAAGTATAGGAAAAAGGCTCACGGAAACAGCTGTATCTCAGTGCAAAATCAAAATTTTGGAATTTCGAAAAAAGCAATGAAAAGGGGAGAAAAAATCCTATTCAAAAATTGAATAAAAAAAATTTTGAATTTAAGGTGTATATAAGCCCTTAAGCCTTAAACATCGAAAAAAACTCATCGAATTATTAATAATAGCTATAATTGTGTGCCAGCTCATTGAAAAAACCTACAATTTCGTGTTATTTCGAAGTTGGCAGCGCTGAAAATTTAACATTGGAAGTATAGGAGCCCCTCGCGTCCCGCTTTGTCCCCCTCTGAGACTCCCGAACCTCCTTAAGGGGACATTCCTATTGAAAATGAAAAAAAAATCGATACATTTTTTTTTACGTTCAAACGTTCTTTAACATCATGAAAAGATCCTGTTAAAATTTTAGAACGAAATTCATAAAGAAAAAAAGTTATGCCCGATTACACGAAGCGTCTAGCGTGCTCGATATGTACAGAACAAAACTTCGGACGCGTTTTTCTCATAACTACTTTTTTCAGCTCTTGACAGCGATTGCGAAAAAACTACTAGTCCGATCTTTACGTTTAACGTCTCGTTTTAATCGATAAAAACTTTTTCTAGAAGACAAACCTCTTAAAAGTTAAAAAAATTATCCCCAATTCTTTTTATAGGGGTGAATTCATCCCCATAACCACCGAAAAGAGCATTTAAAAAAAAACTCGTACTAAAATCGTAAAAATCGAAAATATCAATTTTTTAGAGGTTTGTCTTCTAGAGAAAGTTGTAACGATTAAAACGAGACGTTAAACGGAAAGATCGGACCAGTAGTTTTTTCTTAATCGCTGCCAAGAGCTGAAACACGGAGTTCAGCAAATTCCGTCTACAGCCAACAGAATGGGTCTTAAGTCCCATAAAAAAATTTTTTTTGTACTTTAATAGGTAAGAAACAATACCCAAAAGGTCCGGAATTAATAAAAATTATAGTTTTCAAAAAAAAAAAATTTTAAAAGTGATTTTTTTACAATTTGCAATGGGAATGTCCCCTTAAACAAATTAAAGACTAAGTGCAGTGGTTCTGGGTTCACTACTCTAAAGTTTACTACATACAATGTACCAAAGCTCAAAGTCAGATTTTAGGTAACTCTTTTATCAGAAACAAATGCTTAAATGCCTGGCCTAAGGTTAATATAAAATAATTCACAGATTTATATGGTGAAATATTCCTACTTTTGAGATATTTTTAGTCCCAGTTACATACCTTTTTCGAAAATTCAATCAACTTGAAAATATTTTGGTCAAATTTAGATACGACTATAGTTTTGATAGGTTGCTTTTCAAATCATGATAAAATTTACTATAGTAACCTACTAGAGTTACTACCAAGTAACTTACTAAAATACAATTAAAATTTAGCGAAGAATATATGATAGGAAATATAAAAAATATTCCATTTTAAAACCCCACATTTTTTGATCATGTATATATTTTCCGATTTTGCATAAAATAGCATTAATGAATCGATCTCGTATTGATGGCCGAAGTGTTGAAGTTCGATTGTACTAAATTTTCTCTAACATGTAATTGAAAAGGTAAGAAAAATTTATTTTTAAATATAAAACTTGTGTCTTATAGAAAAAATCATAATAGCTGCTAGCTGCATAGGTAAGCCTGATATTAGTCGATTACGTAATGGCTGCGTAATCCTCAATAGCGGATTCATTTCAAATTCAAAAGGTCATTTTCTTCTTAGAATTCTTATTCCAATTTTTACTCTATAATGTGTATGTTTAAAAGTATTAATGTGTAAAATCCTTAAACGTCGGCAATCCTTGTAGATGTAAGCACGAAGAAATAAAGTAATATTCAGTTGTTAATGAGTCTGCTGCGAAGTAAAAAGCTCTTTCGAAACCTTAAGAACATCAATATAAAGTTTCTCATATAAGACTTTTTAGAGAAATATTCAGTAGAAATTTCAGACAAATTATTTGAAAATTTTATTTTAAGGCTAGGGTACGAATTTTCCGAAAACCATGATATTTGTACAATATTCATAAGATTTCAAATGATTTCCATGTGTAAAGTTGAAAAAAAATTCACTCATTTTGATTGATAATAACAAAATGGAAAGATCAGTTTTTCTCTTTCTTTTCGATTTTTTTTTTTGACCATTTTAGTAAAAGATCTCGCAAAAGACATTTCAAGCAAGTAGATTTGTAGATTTTGCAAGATTTAAAAATCTGTTCATTGAAAAATTTTTTTACGCTCAATGTTGAGGACAGGATTTGGGTGACGAGGGAAAACACTTGTACACTTAATTTTGAGTGTGGGTAATGTTTATTCTTTGATAATACACCAATATCGAGGTGTTATGGTCAATGGTGTGTGGTTATGCAAGAAATGCAGTTCATAAGACATATTACATCGTGAAAAAAGCAAAGCAGAGTGAGCATAAATAACTGTCGCAGTTCTCGCACATTTTTTAAGTTCTTGAGTTACATTTTTTGGGGTTGTTGCATTTTTCTCATTCGTAATATGTACAACTGCATGTATTTTTTGTTTTTGTTTAGATAGCACTGTGCAATTTCTAAGGCTCATTCTTTGGATTCAACTTTTGTTTCATGCACTTCGTTAGTAATGACAGTTGCGTTGGTGACTGAAGATTGTATCAATCTATATAAAATGCTTTGGCTCTTATAGCCGGTCGTAAATTGCTACAATGAGCAATATGCTGATTGACTCCTCTCAAATAATAAAGTTTAAATGCCTTAGGATATTCTGTTTCTACTTTAGAATTTTTTTTATAAGTATCTTTTGACGCTGTCGAGAGGGGTGATTTCCGTTGCTGCTGATAAAATAGACACAGGTTCCGAATCCATAGCTGCTATAAAATTCATTCCACTGTTTTTTTCTTGGTTTACTATACAAGTGTCTCTTGATGCTTTCTTATTTAGTAAATTTTCCTCGAATTCTATCTCTTCGAACTGTATTTTAAAATTGTGAAAAAATACAGTTATATGGGCTATTCCAAAACGTCTTTATTAACTTTGTTAAAAAGAATTCGTCATATGTTAAAAAATTATAAATTAGAACATTTATATTTAGACAATTTATAATTTATAAATTGTCTAGTTTATAATTTTTGCTTCCTCATAGAGGAAGCTCTGTGATAGGCTCGAAAACGAGATTTTGAACCAGACCTCGTAGGACAATTTGGTTTATATATTTGTAAACTATATCCAATTCTCAACAAATGTCCGTATGTATGTGTGTGTGTAGTTTTTGTTTTCTCGGCCTTCTGGCTAACATCGAATGTAGTGACGCCTAGACGAAGAAGGCGTAATTCTGTAGTGCGCAATCACGAAAAAAGTAGATTTTTTGAAAGTTTCGGTGACGACAAAGTCACTGCGTTTTGAAATATCCGTTGAGAACATTGGTGGTAAGAAACAGGTATACGTTTTAAAATTTTGTTACACTAATACAACACACCATATTAACTTTACTTTAAATGATTACAGGAAATGTTATGGTGATTTTTAAATAAATATTTAAATTTTTATGAAAAAACTTTGATCATTATTTATAAAAAAAATTTAATTGGTATTTTTTTTAATGAGGAAGCTCTTTGCCAATGAATTGGCGGCGGTTTTTAATATATGACGAATTCTTTTTAACAAAGTTAATGAAGACGTTTTGGAATAGCCCATATAAATGTATTTTTTTCAGAATTTTAAAATTCTTCAAAATGGGTGTTAGTGATAATAATAAATCTTCGAACTGTACCTGTTGCTATAAAACCAACTTTTTTCAGATGAATCAATAAATCGGGATTTGTAAAATGATTGTCAAAATATGAGTGATATTTATTTATATTTTTGGCACCTGCTGATGAAAGTAAATTCTGTACCATCAACATGATGACACAACTTCCTAGGGCTGATTGAGCTATTTTCATTTAATTATTTGCAGAATAAATATTTGATCCTTAACCGCAATAGACATCACAGTCAAATAAATATCCTTCCACACTACATATTGCCAAATATCGCGGGTTTGTTTGGAATAAATTGCAGGGTAGGTGCTCGTCCGATGAATTTTACTATCATCTCTTCGATAGATAAAGCGTTAGAAGAGAAACTAAATTGTAGAGTATTTTCTCTAAATAAATTTATTACTTTTCGAATTTTCCAAACTTGATCTTGGTCATTTTCATCCTGTGGCTTACTCAATTTGATGTGGGGTCATTGCCGAAGCAATCGAATCAGAACGTAATAATTCTTTCGAAGACCAATAACACAGGCACACAAAAAAATAGCTCAGTTCCAGAGACCGGATCCAGTAGACTTTGTGTTTTTGGGATCGCTGAATCCCAATCCAGCGTCAGTTTTTCGTTTTTAGATCGATTTAAGCTCATTTGAAGATCATTTGAAGGTCATTTGAAGATCAAATCATGAAAAAAAAGTTAAAAATCGGAAAAACTCTTATCTAGGTTTTCGAAGATGCTGAATTCAAATCTAATGTCAGATGACCTTTACAACCTCACCTTCAAGGTTATTTGAAAGTCAAATCTGTCTTCTGAATCAAAGTTCATTTTGACTATACCTTGTCATTTTAAGGTAATTTTAAGGTTAAGTTAATGAAAAGAGGGCAAAAATTGATAGAGTATTGTTAATTTTGTATGCCTTTCTACTTTTTTCTTTTGTAACGCATCTTTTTTTCTTCAAACGATCGGCGTAAAGGTTGCCGTTTGCCTTTACTTCTTCTATAAGGGAGTATATGCTATATTGGCTCATACTATGTTGACTCTGTGACGTCTGGAGAGCCACTTTAATATTAATAATAAAATGATTTTAATTTGGCTGGTGACAATGAGAGGAAATATGTATGATGTCAGTGTACTGGGTAAAGTAGTCGTTATTATTGGTTATAGTTAATTACAATTCCATTTTTTCGTAGACATTCATACATTCAAATATAAAAGGTTGACTTACACCTAGGCTTACTCAACTAATTACAAACAAGATACGTAAGCCTGGTGGATGATTTTCGGTGTGAATGTAGATTACTACAACTGGCTTATCTCGCTTGTATTCTCGAGGCTCACGCTGCAACTGACCCGACTGGCTCTTAGTTGACTGCACTGCACTAGCTACACTAGCCTCAATTATAAAATACACTCTGCATTGGACTCGCGGTACAATTTGATACAATTCTGAATAATGTAAAATCGCGGTACAAAGTAACGTGAGATCCACACACCGAATAAGATGATAGTCGAGTCGCGAGACCTCGGAGAGGTCTCCTGAATATATACATTGAATTTTTGCATAGTTTTGGGGGGAAAATACCTGTCAACGCATGTCCGTCTGTGAGAACCTAACGTCGGACGATGCTAATTGATAGCGGATTCCCAAGTTTATTGTTTTTCTCGCTAAACCGATATCGCTTTATCTCCATATCAATTTTTATTAAACTAAGATTGAGTATCTGTTTCACACACTAAGAAACATCCGCTCACAGAGTGAACTTTCACGATCGCTGTTTTGTCATTTTAACATATATTGAATCGTTATCCTTGATCGTCACTAAAATCACCACAGTTTTTCGAGAACTCATCTGAATGATTATGCAAGAAATGCAATTTGCAAGACATATTACATTCCATTTCATCAAAATTTTTTATCATTGTTAAAATTAAAATTTTTTAATCATCGCTTTTGTGATTACCTAGAAAATTATCTACAACATTTTTGAAGGAATATTCGATGGACCAGAAATAAGAAAATTTCGGAAAGATGACAATTTTCCAACTAAGATGACTGAAATTCACAAAGTTGCATGGTCTAGCTTTCTTGATATCTGGGATCAGCTAATGAGTCCATCGGCCCTACACGGAAAAACTTTTGACCATGTTTCAGGCTCGAATACATAGAGATACATTCACGCTCTGAGTCGAGCACAATTCATGCTCAGTCCCGAGCGCGAAACGCCCTCGAGTTCTGTCGAGTGCGTATTATGACCGACGCTGAGCAGGATGTTACCCTTAACTCAATCTGGAAAGATATTCGCGATCGAAGTCGATCACAGTTCATGCTCAGACCCGAGCACGAAATGCTCTCGGGTTCTGCCGATGCGAGCGAATTAATCCTGAATCATGAATTTGAAAGATTAATGTGTATATGCGTAACGCAGCACACAGAGTTAGCATGACAGAACATAGGGGAAATATGTTGGATTCTTAATATCTTTTGAAAATGGTTGAAAACACCCATTTATAATTATATCATTCGAAAGCGAATAAGGTTTCCTATAACATCTATAATCTTTTCATTTAATAAACTATCATTGGTTAAAATTTCACTTCCATCTATATTTTTTTTCATTTTCGCTACAGCCTGCTGAAGGGGGCTTAATATACTGTTTTTTATATTTGCATTGATTTATTTTAAAAAACAGTTTGTAAAACCAAAATGACAGTCATTACATAGTAATTCACTTGACTATAATACTTAATTCATTGTCAAATTGACCAAGTATTACATTGTGGACGGATGTTGCGAGAGTCACCACCCCATATAAATTTCTTATATTC